TCTTTCGGGGGAGCTAATCAGAGAGGCTACTTGGTCAAGGTACTCGCGATTAGCCATCTTATGCGAGCTTCTCAAGTGGACTTTCAGATTTGTGGGGGTTTTTCCCTTGAGAAGTATCCCACATATTTTGTCACCTGTTTCTACAACGCACCTGCTCTTATCTGTCTCGCTGTCATAGTCAAAGAAATTCCAGAAAGGACTCTGCCGCCTTGTCCCAACTTTTGTCGTCGCCATTTTTCCAGGTAACGCGGTGAGCAAAAGCCGACTGTAAACAAGAAGTGACGGACAGAGAGGTGCCGTACGGTGCCACCAGCTCACGTAAAACTGCTACAGCGAAATAAATCAACTTATAAATAAATTGACAAAGACGAAAACGAAGGACATTTCATGTATAATTTCAGTACGTTTTAGTTAGTTTTGTCAATGCACAATACAGTTATAGTTAGTTATCCTTTTTTCTTTTAATTGTAGTTTTTATTTATTTAATTTAACGAAAATGTTTTTTCAATTCTAGTTTTCATTATTTCGTTCGTTTTCGTTGACGATAATAACCTTGCATGTTGTCCTTCACATATGCTTTTCTGGAAGTTGTTTGTTGACGTGGTACCAGTACACCTTTTCCAGCTTTTAGAACATCATTGTTGTGTGCACAATTCCCCTTATTTCTTACAAGGTCCAAATGAATCTTTCTTTCTTTTGACCGCTTAAAAAAACTGAAAGCTTTTGCCACATCCATTTCATTTTTGTGAATTCTTTCTAAGTGCCTTGCCATTTTGCTGAAAGGTTTTTGAACAATATAAGCAATACTGCTTTTTACTGTACAACCTACCCCCATGTGTGCTCTTCTGGAGCTTCATGACAGGCACCACACTGCTACTGTCATAATTTGATTCATCTTTGGCTTCATCCTCAGTTGGGGATGTGGCTGTGCAGGGCTTGATTCTATATATGCTGGTAGTGTCTGACACATGTTCAGATGATAGAGTACTGGAGTGGGTGGCAATGATCCTTTTTTTGAATGGAATGATCTTGTCATTCTCCTGTGAACTCTCGGATGATTCAAGTACATATTCATCTTCGCTGTTTTCTACACTGCTAATCAAGTCATCTGAGATGTAGCCTAGTGATTTTTTGGTTAGCTAGAAGGGGAGACATAAGAACATAAGAACTGTACAAACGAGAGGAGGCCATTCGGCCCATCGAGCTCGCTTGGGGAGAATTTGACTAATAGCTCAGAGTTGTTCAAATCTTATCTAGCTCTGATTTAAAGGAAGCCAAGGATTCAGCTTGCACTATGTTATCAGGAAGACTATTCCATACTCTGACTACACGCTGTGTAAAGAAGTGCTTCCTTAAGTCCAGTTTGAAATGTTCTCCCGCTAATTTCCACCTGTGGCCACAAGTTCTTGTATTTGAACTAATGCTGA